TCGGGGCTGGCCGTGGGCCGAGCGCTCACAGCAGCGCCTGCTCTTGGACCACGCGATGGGGCTCGCGGTGAACGCAGCGCGTTAGTTATCGCTTGTTGTGTTCAAAGGTGAGGTATTCCCTTAAAAAATATAGATAGTAAATATTTTTTTTTTTTAAGACATTTTTTGAAGTGCTTTCCCCAGGGTCTAGGAGAAGAAGAGGAAAGTGAATCTTGCAGTGTCTAGTAAAACCATGGTGGATGGTTTATACATCCTTTGCTATATCATTACCTTTAACACTTACTCGATTCAAAAGTGAAATCAATCTATTTCTGACTGCTCACTGTGTCTCTTGTAGTCTAGGACAATATTAAAAAAAATTAGAACAAAAATAACTGTACACACAGCACAGTTTAAGCAAAGATATCAGATATCACTTATACAGAAGTACAGCTATTTGCTGAGTATCGTTAGGCAGATTTTGACAGCTGACATCATTTGGGGCTGTGTTACAGAGAGAATCTTTTGTATACGTAGAAGAAATTGTCTCCTCTCATCATTTCTACCATTTCCAGGTAACTATCTTAGTGTGAGTAGGACTGCACCTCTAATTGTGTTTCCCTTAATAGTCCAAGCAACAAACTGCAAGAGGCTAAAGAAACTTTCAGACCGGTCACCTACCACAAATAATGTCAGTCAGCCTCCCCGATCCCTCTCTGTAGCACAGGATTTAATTTAAAGGAAAAAAAACATAACTGTTTAGAACTTAAATAATATGTATAAATGTTGAAAGTATTCTAGACATAAATTCAGGTGATGGTAACCTAGTCATACAAAAACAAATGATAGGGAAGCTGAGGACCTGATTCATCACTCTATAGACTGACACTGAATGAGCGTGAAGAAGTAGAGAATGAACCCCAGTACTTTTAAATAGGTGGGCCCGTCATTTCTTAGGCTACTTAAATGTAATAGATTATGACATTTAAATTGAGAATTAAAATTCAGGGGTTCATGCTTAATGAGGAGTCGTGGGGAGTGAATGATGTTTTTAGGAAACACATTGAAGTATTTCATTTAGAAGTTTCTCTGCCCTTTTCTTTCTTTCTTTCTTTCTGTCTATCTATCTGTGTGTGTGTCTGTCTATCTCTCTATCATTAAGATACAGGCGATTTTTACTATAGGAGTTTTGTTAGAGCTGTTAAGATGAAACTTTTTTTTCCCTTTTTCTCACTTGGAGTAAGCTAGTAGCACCTGTTTGTTGAATGGAAAATATCACTTACAGTTGCCCTGAAGGACTGTTGAAGCAGCATGCTTTCCAGAAGACAGTCGGGATGTGGGACGAACCCAGGATGTGAGAGATTGTACGCTTTTTTCTTGTTCCTGCCATACTTTTACTTTGTGACCATAGGAAGTACACATACATGTTTTGTTCTTCTGTTTTTCCATTTAAAAAATACACTTAAAGCTATATTGGAGACATACTATAAGAGTCTAGGTAGTATTAGGTTTAGCATTTTTGAATAATTTATACACTTGTATTGCTACAGTGTATTTTCTTTGGATGATCTGTTGTTGCTTTACTAATTTGAGTTATCGTGTAATTTCTCTGCATTTTAGGTATTTGTCTTTTTCTTTATCTTAAAGCATTTTCTAACCTAGCTGTGGATTCTCTAAGTATAGGACCATTCATTGAGTCAATTCACTGTAGGAAATTATGTATTTTAATTAACTATTTAAGGCAGTTTTGATGTGTTTTAATAAATAAATAAATATATATATTTTCAGGAGGAAGGCAATTCTACAACTTCTCTTGTATAAGGAGAGTCTCAGCAAAGACAATTTAAATGACATGGAATATGGATTATCTAACTTCATTCTTTAAAAAAAAGGGAATTTTACTTTAACTGGAAATAGCAAAACCCATTATGTACGGTAATGATGTGACGTTAAGTGCATGGCATGTTTCTCCCCAAGTCACATACCAAACTAGAACTACTAACATCTAAAATGCAAGCATGTTTTAGATGTTAAACTAATAAAGAACTATCAAAATGTTTTATGAGAAATGTTATTACTGTGTGGGGTACTGTGGGCTAGGGCCGCCAATGCTTCAACCATGCAACTTCCGGATGTGGTTACTAGCCACAAAAGCCAAAGATCGGCACTTAAAAGTCAAATACAGAGGACAGTATTTATATATAAAGTCACGAGCGCGAAGGTAGTGAAAGGCAGGAACAGAAAAGGTCAGAAAACTATGCTCTGTCAATAATATTTTATTTTTGCAGCAGAGAGAGATGATCAGCAGTTAGCAAATGTGTATTCTGGTTGCACCAGGACATGTAAATCATTTCTCTGGTAAGGAAACCAATCCTTCTATCCTTGAAATAAATAATTGTCTTACCACTGGTTTCCTAAGGACCAGAAGCATTCTTCTGTATGCCCTATCTGTGCATAATTAGAAGAAGGTTGCTGGTTTATGCATGTGTGTATATTTAGCCTAGGAACAATGTCTTCCCTACTCTCAAGGCTTCTTTTAAACCAAAAACTATCTAAGTAGGTCTCCATGTAGACATATAATTACTGCATAGTAGGCAAAGTATTTTTTATATAATTATGATTTCTGTAAACCTGATCATAGCTTCTAATTCAAAGAAGGATTTTAACTGAATTCGAATACAAACTTTTAAATGATGTACAGTGTTCACAACAGTCAGATCATCCTAGGATTTAATATCTGCTATGGTATCATGTGTTTTCTCCTGTATTAAATATAACCTTCAGTGCCGTAGCCGACTGGAGGAGCAGATCACAGAGCAAAGCATGTAACTTTTGCTAGCCTGTTGTGCTAAGAATGTTGTGATCTTTGCTAAGCTGTTTATAAATTATTTAAGTATGGAAGAGTGTTTTGAGGACGTATTGTACATAGTGAGTTTTTATATCCTTGTCATCCTGGTAGACTTTAGACTTGCGTTATTTACATCTAAGAAAACCAAAATAACACCTACCAGATAATGTCTCAGATCTATTCCTTAAGCCAAGCTCCCACAGATTTGAACGTAAGTTCAGACTAAAACTAGATAACAACAACATCCTTGAATTAGGATTTGTCTTTTAGTTCATTGTAACATATACTTGAGATGTAAGTTTTTCTCACAGGCTTAGCAGTCAACAGGACTTCTGTGATTATACGGATAGGCTAGAAAGAAGAACTGTTAATCTAAAAGGAGAATTTTTGGTAGCAGAAATAAGAAGGAAAATTATTTTACTTAGCTTGTCATCTCCTGCAACGTATTATCTCAAGGATACTGGGATATATACTTTATTAATATTAATATTTTAAAATTGCTTTATGGCACTATTTACTTTTAAAGATATTTTAAGAAATTGAAAAGAATACAGTGATTTCTATATATTTTTAAATTTCTAGACTTGCTTTTTATTTATAATAAATCCATATAAATAACTTCATCATTTTCCACTTAGGTGGGATCAGAACAAAATCTTGGACATACATTGCAGCTCCTATTGGCCTTTGTGCTTGGGGTTTCCTCTCTGTAATATGGGGCTAAGATGGTGTATGCTTGGACCAAGTCTGGGTGGGGATATATTTGCAGCAGGCACCAGGATGTGGAAACTCAGAGACAGAACAGTATAGACATAGCCTGACTGCTTTCTAGCATTCATGCAAAAGTGCGGTCTTCTGAGAGTGATGCATAATACCAAATTTTTCTTTCTGCATCATGCAACTCATTTTCTAGTCCAATGCAAAGGTGCAGTCTTTGATGAATAATAAAAAAAGCCCTTTTTCTTTCCACCTCTCCTTAGAGAGACCAAAATAAGTATTAGTATAGCCTGCCGTAAGCTCTCAACTCTCTGCATTTTGTTGAATACATGAATTCAAAATAACACATAGCAAGAGCGTGAGTTGTATCCTGAGCAAATTTAAGCTATTTTATTCCATGTCATCACAGGTTTAGGCTTCTCTGTAGTATCAGCTCCCATTTGTTCCATGTGGTTTTACAGTAAGTCATAAGTTTTATGGAAATGTGTTAAGAGGAAGACAAAATGATTGCCCTGGAACTGATGTATATAAACGTCCTGGCCCACCAGAGCGGACTAATGAGTGCAGTGCCCATTAGGACATACTATACTCGAGTTTATGTGGAAATCTTCTGGAGTGGCTGGACGATCAGTGTATAGTCTTGCAACGATAGGGTTTCTCTTTTACCAGACACAACTGAAAACCTACCTAAACTGTCATTGTCTGAGTTACTTCTGGCATGTTGTTAGCATTTAATCCCTGAAGTCCTATATTCTGTGCAGAATTCTGTACAGCAGTTAATGATGCAGCATTTTTTAAAATATTGCTATCTTTCTTCCTTCGGTCCTTTAGATTGAGGGCCTAATTCTCATCTACCCTAATTAAGGCTCTTTGTGCAGTCCTGCCAGTCATACTTGCATTGCTAGACCAATGTGAAGGTGGGGTGTGATCTGAATGGAAAAAAAAAGTAGAGTTGTGTGAAGATTCCTATACTTGTAGAGGGGAAAGAGATTTATGACTTCTAAACTAATGTTACTCAGAGCCTGGAAATGCAGATTTCATTGAAAATAATGTGCATGCCAGTTGTTTTGTGTTAGTAAAAGCAGGAGTGTTATTGATAACTAGCATTCCTAAAGAGAGCGAGTGTTCTGTTTTGATGTTTTTACTTTTTTCATGAAGAATTATTTTTGCAAGTTAAAATTCTATTTTAACAAAATCCGGTATTCCAGCAGAGGAATAAAAAATCAACAAACCAGCTAATTGAAAATCATGTCCTGAAAGACAGGTGGTCATTGGATATT